GCCCGGCTTTTGGCGCGGGGCTTTCCCGCCAGTGGATTTACGAGTAGTCTGCTTGGTACCGGCCATTTTTTTTACTCAACGCGGAACTCCTAGGCCGCTACTCCGGACCGCCGGGCCGCTGCTTCTGCCCGATGAAGAACCGCAGTCACTGAGCAAAGAAAAGACAGTCCTCCAACGAACGACCAAACCGCTCTGCGCTCCAAACCCCCCCGACGCCTCCGCTTTTATACGCACGCTTCACGCTGCGTCTCTGCGTCATAGGGCCCTTATTTGCATATACCAACGACTTTTTCTATTGGAGGGTGCTTTCGCCGACGCGCTGACATCCCCCGACACAAAGGCCGTGCTTCGGCCCCGTTTCCTGATTGGTGGGTACCTAGGCCGCTGATTGGCTGTTAAAGTGGCCTCATGATTGGATGAATGCAAAGGTGAATGGGCGAATCAGAGTTTAGTAGTAAGCGGCTCTTCTGATTGGATAAAATGGAGCTATGTTTGGATCCTTCCCTTGGTTCCAAAGCTCTACAATAGAAAGTCAATGCAAATGAATTGCATGGGTTCCTAGCAGGGTTTAAGAAAAGTCCGAAGGAGTAGAAGGCTTAGCTAGTTTGCATCAAGCTAATGAATACAGGAGAGGCAACTTTAGCGAAGTTTTTTTTGATTATTTTCTAATGTCAAGTAAAATGGGTTCCTTGGATTATGTGCTTTGCATGATATTTTGATAGTTAAGTACTCACTGTGAGAGTCAGAATTTGGTAAATGATATACTATCAATATGCTATATATCATGCATATACATATTTAAACAAAAAGCAGTGCTTTTGTTTGGTGGGGATAATAGATACTAAGAAATAACTTCCATAAATGATTTTAGAAATACTGCTTTCTGGGCCTGGCAGGTGGTGTGGTGGTTGACGGTGTTGGACTCCCACGCGGCCAACCACAGTTCAAGTACTGGTCCTGGTGGCTTGCTTTCTTGCTTTCCCTGTCTTTCTCTGGTCAAATTTTTTAAATAATAAAAGTAAAGTTTAATAAAGTAATTCTTTTTTTAAAAGTAGTACTTTGTATAATTTTAGGCTGTCATAAATATTTTATGCTTTTAATATGGTTAGAGTTGGGGCTAAGAGATGGTGTGGTGGTGGTTAAGGACGCTGGACTCCCACGTGGCCGACTGCAGTTGAAGTCCAGGACCTGGTGTCTGCTCTCTCTCTCTGTCTCTCTCTCACTCTGTCCTTCTCTGGTCAAAATAAATAAATACTGGGGACCAGCAGGTGGCATGATGGTTAAGGCACTGGACACTCCCACATGACTGACCATGGTTCGAGTCCTGGACCTGGTGGCTTCCTTTCTCACTCCTCCCTCTCCTCTCTGTGTGTCTCTTTCTCTGGTCAAATTAAAATAAATGAATAAATAAAAATTTAAAAAAATATTAAAATAAAGTTAAATAAAATAATTCTGAAAAAAAAATCCTTAGAGTTGGACAAGAAGTGACCTGAGGCAACGTATTTCTTAAATTATGTTATTCAACTGAATGAAATGACTGGCTGGAACTCTAGTATTTACATGCCCAGGAAGAGTAAATGAAAAAAACTAAATTAAACATGTTCCCTTGTATGTAATGGTATACCCTGGCAAGTATGAAGAAACATGACAAATGTGTAAAAATGCTAAGCCCTACCTTTGCCTAAATAAATGTCTTAGAAAGACTACAATATTCAGTTTTCCTGATATCGCAAGTAAATAAGTATCAAAGCAGGCTTAAGGTTAAAGCCAGCAAAGCAAAGCCCAGAAAAATTGAAATAGAGCCTTGGGCATTCTACTCCATAGCACTGACTTTTGGCTTACCAAATATTTAAAATTATTACAAGAAAAAAAATAGAAGAAAAAGTAACAGAACCAAGTACACATAGATTTCTTTTTCTTTTTTTAAGAGAGATTTTTTGCTATAGTGTGCACTCGCCAGAGGGACAGAGAGCAAGAAATCACTCCCTCCCCCTAGGGGAGATGGCCACGTAGCAATCCCTTCTCTATTTTCCTCTCCTGATTTGTGGGCACACACACACAGGCACCTGGCGTGAGTTTCAAGCCACCAGGTCCTGAACTTGAACCGTGGTTGACCATGTGGGAGTTCAACGCCTTAGCCTCTACGCCACCTGTTGCCCCCCCCCCCGAGATTTTAACTCAGTGTTATTGTACATAACTAGTAAAATATCTCATTTATTTGCCATGCGAAAGGTCCCGTATCGCTACTAAAAGTGAGAAAAAAACGCAGTTTAAAAAAGTAGCTATGGCAGAAATGTCTTTGGCCCAACCTCTGATAGGGAATTGTATTTTAGACTTCTCATATTTGCAATTTTTGTTTTGCAGGTTTTTGCCATAGGGCATATGCACTTGCCAGAGACAAATAGAAAGAGGGAAAGTGAGAAATCATCCACTGGGGGGGGGGGGGACGGGGACACACCACAGTCCCTTCTCCAGTCTCCTCTGGAATTTTGGGCATGCATGTACATTTATTTGCCCAGTGTGATCTTCAAGCCACTGGATCAGGAACTTGAACCCTGGTCGGCCATGTGGAGTCCAGTGTCTTAACCACTACATGACCTGCTGGCTCCTACAATAAGTTATTTAATCATCATATGCCTAATCTTTTATGTGATAATTTAACCAACTCCAATTTCTGCCTTCTGCTTAAAGGGAAAGAATTTTGCTGAGAAGAGATTAAAAGATAAAAAAGGCTCTTGCTCTGTTCTCAGAATCTATGTAGTTAAGAAACAAGGGACTGTTTATTCTCAGGAGGCTGGCAAATGCTCTGGGATGCAACCAGAAAAATACTTCATCTTTTTTTGACTGTTCAAATGTCCAGGAGAAATAGGCCCCTACCTTGATCACTCTCTCTGCATTCTTCAGTTTTTGTAAGAGACCCAGAGCTCTGTCATTTCTATGGGACAGTCCAGTTATTTTTTCTTCCAGTTTTGCTAATAGAAACTAAAACTGCTCCAGTAGAAACAAGGTAAGGATTTACATTCATCCATTTAAGGGATGTTAGTGGAAATAGTTTGTCTCTCTTACTTGGCAGCCGTACAGGTATGTACTGCTTTTTTCTAAGCTGGGAGAGGAGAGGTAAAGCAGCACAGGAAATGGGGAACTCAAAATGTCTATACTGTATAATCAAAACACTAGCAAATGTGATGCAGTATGTGGGCTACAGTCCTACGGTAGTTCCTGTTCTGTCACTGGCTTGCTGAGTAACTTTGTGCAGGTTGCTTAACTTCTCTGGGTTTCAGTTTCCTCTTGTAAATTAAGCAGCTTGGATGATATCACCTCCCAGTGCTACCAGTACACAGTTCTGAAGCTTGTGCTATACTTCCGGTATTTCAAACTTAGTGCTGTGAACTGTATTTCCTCAGTCAAATCACACTTGGATATTTGAAGGATAACATATAAACCAATTACTTGGATTTAGTTATAGTATTAAAGCAATATACTACAATCTTTCCTTGTCCTTTTGGCATTTTTCATCTTCAAGCACCCCTAGTGGCTAAACAATCAATTTGGCCTGTTTAGGAAATACCAGTTTCTCAAGTTTGACAATTTGGCTTCTGATAAGTTCCTCAGAACTAAGTACGCACACTCTTCAACACTAACAATTTTCCTCATCCAGCCTCCTTCACCCTTACAGTTATTTGAAATGTGTTTCCTTAATCAATCATTCGCTAACATAATCCCGTTTAACGAGGTGTAAATCAGTCTTAATGGATTTCAAGTAGGTTCATGATAGAAAACAAAGTTAAGTGACAAGAGTTAAAATATATACGAAGAGCATCCTACAGCTCACAGAATCCAATTCTTAGATCTGGGACAACTGGCTTATTTTACAAAGCAAAGCACTTTGCTTGACCGGCGAGAAGCCGGGAGGGGAGAAACATTTCCCCAAACAGAAAGGCTGACGTCCTAAGGAGGAAACTAGAGTGCACTGTAACTGCGCCCCCGACTGGAACCAGACTACTCTTCCCCTGGACGCCACTGTGATGCCCAACACCCTTCTAACTTGTCGGTGTACCTCAGCGACTACTCTAGACGGAGATTAAGTTCATCCTTGGCCCTTAATGTACTGGAAACAAGTTGGTCGGGCCAGGTGTCGAGCTGAGCAGGGACACGAGTCGTGGCGTTCCAGGTCTCGGGGTTGATAAAGGTTACTGAGGCGCCTCGGCACCGGCGCGCAACACAGAGCAGAGCAGGGCAGCCCTTGCTTAGCAAAGCTTTCTCTAGCTGGCTTCCGCGGGCAGTCTTTCCTCTACGTCTCTGAGGTCGGTTCTGCCGCAGGGGATGAGGATGCTGGCGGCCCGCGCGGTTCAAAGGCCCAGAGCTAAGAACCGACAACTCGGATAATTAAACCCGCTTGGAGGTTCTGAGCCCCCCTCAAAACCACGTCCGAGCTGTACTAACTGTGGAGACAAAATAATTATTACACACTTGGCAGTGAAATGACAGTTGGGACTGATTCGCAGAAGTCGTTCGGGCCTCCCTAGCCCTGGGCCTCTTCCAGGCGCTGCAGTTTCAAGGAAAGGTTCCCCCATGAAATTGAAAACGCCCCTAAGAAAAAGAAACACGGCCAGACTGCAAATCCCAGAACCCGTCGCGGACCCTCAGCATCCGGGACACCGTTCGCAAAGACCCCTGGGCGTTGTGGTCCCGTGCTTTGGCAGCGGCCCTCTACCGACGGTAAAATTCCAGCCGAACCGAGGACCACAACTCCCAGCAACCCTTGCTGCCGTGCGGGGGGTCTTCACGTTCTCGTGGCGCGGCGCAGGCGCGCTGGGTCCTCGGCGCGGACCGGGCGGACTGCATAATA